CTTAACTCTGCCAGTAGCTTTATAAACCTGTCTTATAATTTGTCTATATATGTATATATGTATATATATATATATATATATATATATATATATATATATATATATATATATATATATATATATATATATATATATATATATATAGATATAGATATATATATATATATATATATATATATATATATATATATATATATATATATATATATATATATATATATATATATATTCATTAAAGCTCAGTACCTACACTCTTAATAGATTTGTGGTCACACTTTTCATATACTGCTAATATCTTCCCACAAAATTAATAATTCAAAAGTTTGTTTTGTTTACTCACAATAACTTGTTTTTCTTTCTTTAATCACTAAATATTCCATCCACATCTTCTTCATACATATTAAAAACACTCAGACACAGTAACAAAAAATCACCACCATTAATCACTTGATTTTATCTTCTATTCTCTTTATTACTATTTAATCACTTAGAAGCACTGGAACTTTCTAGAACCCAACTATGTCTATTTCTTATGTGACTTTGCAAATGGACTTTCTGTGTTGAACGATATGGGCAATGATCACAGGCAAAAGGTTTCTCTCCAGTATGGGTGCGGATATGTGTCTTTAAACTGTCCATCTGAGCAGCTCGGAAGGGGCAATGGGGACAGCCAAAAGGTTTCTCTCCTGTGTGAGTACATATGTGCCTGGTTAGATGAGTGCTCCTAATGGTGGTATATGGACAGAAGGGGCACTGATGAATCTTGGTACCAGCAGTGAGACTCTTCCCAATCGCAGCAGCTCCTCTCCTGGCTGCCCTCTGATGGCTGCTGCCAAGCCTTGCCTGTTGGGGAGGCCGCTCTTACTTATCCTTATTACAAAAATGCAAAATCACTTTTCTTCCACTATTGAAAATTTTCAACACTAATAAGAAACTGCTTGAGAGGTAAGAAGCACTGAAAGGTGGATAATTTTGGCACATGTTTGTCAATCACAGAAGATAACCTATCCCACAGCTCCCATGTTAATTCTTGACTAAAAAGAGAATAGTTTATATACAAGAGATGAAAAAGAAATAAACCAAATATTCAATCCATTTTGTATTGGCTGTAAATACTATAGTGTATCCAAACTTACATCATTAGTCCAGTTTTTTAAGCTACTTCTATATAACAAAAATATATATAACCAAAAATTTATAATCCATAAAGAAAAGTACAAAACAAAGAATTAGAAAGTGGAACATTATCAATTTAAACTAACAAAATAATTATCACATTAGAAAGAAAAGATTTGTGTATGCATCAATTTTCAAGCAATATCTGACAAAAAGATTGGCTGTAGATTATCCAAAGACTGAAAAAGCATGTACTTTCCTCTCTAACAAATAGGCTATATCGAAAACCCCTTGAAATTATATCTTAAACACACTGCTCCTGCATAAAAAGTAATAATTAAATTAAAATTCATCAATCAGTTATGTGTACTGAATGCTAGCCAGCTAGTGATACTTGGTTGGTTGGTCAAAATTGCCTGTGTAAATTCAACTCCTAAGTGCCTCAGTTCAAAGTATATTTTATTAGCCTAAATAATGCAATTATTATGTTGTATTTGAATCATCTATAAATCAAGACTTAACTGAGAAATGGTGTGCAATTTTTTTTTTCTTTTTCTTTTTTTTTTTTTTTGGTGAAATGTGTCTTCACATAGATGGATTAGCTAGTGCTTAGCCACAAAAGAGTCAATTAGTAAACCTTGTGACCTTACCTTTCCTTGAATTGGTGGTAAGAACGTTTTTTATAGTAATGCTATGAATATCGATGGTGTTATTTTACTATAGACATTATAATTACTATAATAATATAACATTATAATATTATATTATAACATTATAATATTATATTATAACATTAGTAACAGCAAAATAAAATAATGTAAAATATTTTCGTAAATCAAGGAAAAGGGTAAACAGGCGAGACAAGCAGTATTTGTAATTAGCTCATTGGTGACTTAGTACAAGTATAGCCATCTATGTGTAAAAACAATAAAGTACAATCACAGTGTGCATGGCATGTATGTATATGCCATGCCAGGCGGCACTGGGTTAAGTCTTCTATAAATACTAACAAATCATTCTATGTAGATATATCAATATGAGTCACTCAAAATAAATAAGATGCAGTTTTTATTTCATTGCTAAGCCTTTAATATATATTATGTTTTAAACACTTAAAAAGTAATATCCTGATATACTGTGAATGCATTTACAGTTGTGGAAAATGTCTTCTAACATTTGTACATGTCTGACTGTAACTGCAAAAAATGGGTTTCATTAAAGACAATGAACAAAAAGTAAGATTTATTTACTCAACACAACAGATCAGCAAGTTCCTTTCCTTTTCTAACTTTCAAGAACTCATTCTTTAAGCCTTTAAATGTCTAATAATAAGAAGGAATCAATTCAAGTGTTTCCTACTATCTCCTTCAGTCCCTCCCCTTTAACCCATACAAAATCATGATAATTGTAATATCCATTATATATAATATATTGCATTAATAAATAATATAAGTACATTTAGTTATAGAAAATGAAAGTTCAAGAAGCATTAGTTACTGAAGTAAAAAAAAAATATAGAGTAATTCCCTTAATCTAAAATAAATTTGAATATCTTAATTAGCTGACTGATGACAATGATGACAATATTGGGGACACTAACAATAAAAATAATCAATCATCAACTACACATCAACATCAATGTACAAAGACAATCATCCTAAAAAAGTAAGCAAGCAAAAAAACAGATGTTGAAAGAATGTGATCATACTGTCAGCAACCCTCTCCCTTAAGTAAACAAGAGCAAGTGTGCACTCTCCAAGAAAACAGGGGGGGGAAAAAGGGGGCAGGGGGGGGGGCATCAGATTGCATGAACTGATGGAACAGGAACATCCCAAAAGTTAGAAAAGATGCCTTCACTGAAGATTACCAGAGGAAAACATCTGTAACTATGATTTAATTGCCTCATATACTTTCCCTCACTTATTCCCCTCACCCCTCACTCACACTTATTATTGTTATCACTATCACTATTACTATTATCATTATCACTGCTATTATTATCTTTCCTATTACTCTTACCACCAGACCGATATAAAAACATGTTTGTCAAGTGGTTCTTGAAAGTTCCTATACTAGAAACCTTCCATTGACCTACCTTTGCTATAACTCAAATTTACTTTAAGTTTAAAATATATTAAAGAAATACCCACAAAATAAAGTTGATAATGTGATAAAGAAAAAAACACAAAATAAAACAATTCTGTTAGTATGAAAAAGATATTCTTGCCTTGCTTTTCCTCTGATCTACAATTGCTATGAATTTTGTTTCTTATACATAGTAAACATAGGTTGAAAATTACTAAAAACATATTAATTTTGGAAATCTTTATTAACCAGTCGATTTGCTCTATATATCCTTATTCACATCTAAACAACAGCCAAACATAAACTTAGTGAAAAATCAATAGTAAGCATTGTATACAAATTACTGTCTGAAAGCACATTGATTGTAAAAATGTAGACATTACATCTACAGGACAGCTTTTAGACTACAGTTCTTAACCTTTACTACTTCAGCAGTACACACCACCTTGATTAATGCTTTAGTCAACAAATAAAACTGCTATGACATTTTATAAACTTCCATGACTTGTTTTTGCTATTATTCTGTCTCACAAGGGAGACATACAAGCAAAGGGTGTCGTGATTCCTTGTTGAAGAACATTAAGTCATGTGCTAATATTCATCATGTACTTCTTTTAAATCACTTAGCAACTACAAAGTCTATGCTAACACTTTTGGTGAAATAAAAACATGGTCAATATGAAGAATTTTTATAGTTTCTCCTGCTAAAATCATATCACTAGTGAAATAAAGAGCAATGAGAAAGTATCATACATCCATACATGCATATATATATATATATATATATATATATATATATATATATATATATATATATATATATATATATATATATATATATATATATATATATATATATATATACATATATATATATATGAACCATAATCATGTTGACAGATGTAGAAAAGGTATGAATGAGAATGAATATCTTTACAATACAAGATATGTATTTGACCGGTTTCTGATGAAGACATAATTGAAACCAGTCAAATACCATCTCTTGTACTGTGAAGATATTCATTCTCATTCATACCTTTTTTACATATACATATATATATATATATATATATATATATATATATATATATATATATATATATATATATATATATATATATATTTATTTATTTATATCTATATATATATATATATATATATATATATATATATATTATATATTATATATTATATATATATATAAATATATAAACATATATACATATAAACATATATACATATATACATATATATATACATACACACACACACACACACACACACACACACACACACACACACACACACACACACACACACACATATATTCCACTGCAGGACATTCACTATTGAGAGGTTATTTGGCAGTCCCACCCTTGCCTATTTGGATGCCCTTCCTAATCAACTGTAGTTCAGCGTGCTAACACCTATACCACTTCCCCTATGACACCTGGATTTGTCTTCTCAAGGCAATATGTCATTTTCTATATATGGATGTTTGTATATATATATATATATATATATATATATATATATATATATATATATATATATATATATATATATATGTGTGTGTGTGTGTGTATGTTTGTGTGTGTGTGTATATGTGGGTATATACATATATGTGTATATATGTGTATATACATATATGTGTATGTGTGTGTGCGTGTGCATGTGCGTGTGTTTTTGTGTGTGCAATGAGAATGTATCATATCTACCAAAATCTGGCTGCAAAGAAAGAAATCAGGAAAAATAGGACAGATGCCACAGTACATGAAATTATATAATAATATCCTGCATTAACACAACTCAGTTTTGTAGCCCCCTGGCATCAGCAGTGCGACAGCACAACCATGCATTATTCTCTCCAAGACGCCCAGATCAACACAGGTTAATGGTTTCCAAGTGGGCTGAAAATAGGATAACAATATAGGCATGCTCCTACGTATGATGTATGTATTGAATACACCTTGTCCCTTGTGTTGACAAATGTATAGAGTGGGGTGCATCTCATGATGGGAACCATCAATGATGTGTAGGATAATTCAGAAGTTAACACTGGCCTGATAACACAAACAGGAACACTTGATCTGGAGACTTATTAAAGCCTTATTTGTTCCCATTATGTATACGTATTAAATACATTCATGTATAAATATGGATATCATGTGTACATGTATATCATTGCACACTTTCAAAATAAGTAAGTGAACATAAACTGAATTGTCACTGTAATTATAATTGTTATCATGTTGATTACTGGTAATAAATAGTAAAGTGAGAGCATTGCAGTGGTATCAGTCACCTTAAACTGCCACAGATAATCTAAGCACATGAAATGGTGTTTATAAGTTAATTTCACTACTGTCAGATGTTGCAAATCTACTTTTTATTTACAAGTTTACACTGAATTATTTAAATTCACAAAAAATGGTTAATACAAATATTTTCTCCTTTAGCAAGATTTAGTTACGTGGTTGATTATGAAATATTATTCACTGAGAATGCATTGTAACATATATCTACAAAGAATTGCTGGACAAAACAAACAAAGCAAATATGAAAAAAATTTATCTGATCAACAAAGATACTTCAGTATACAGAGTTATTGTAGAATGTACCGATGATCCCATACATTTCAATCTAAATATAAACATAACATAATTACAAAAAAAAAAAAAAAAAAAATCTATCTTTCATGATATATCTAGGGAAAATAATTTCCCCAAAAAATGAACTAATTAATTAATTAATTAATTAAAAATTGGATTTCAAAATCTAAAATTTTGCTTATCGTCTGTGAGTCAGCATATGGGCATTCAAGTTTCCTTTCCATGCTGATCGATATGGACAAATAGTACATGCATAAGGCTTCTCCCCTGTGTGAGTACGTATGTGCGTTTTTAAATTCCTTTTCTGTGTAGCCCTAAAAGAACAATAATTACAAGAAAAAGGCTTTTCCCCTGTGTGGGTGCGCATATGATTTCTAAGATTTGTGGTAACACTAGTTGTGTAGGAACAGTAGGAACACTGGTGAGTCTTGGTGTTGGAGAAGCCCTTCAGAGCTCCAATGGTTCGTCTACCTCCAGTCCTCTTATCGTCATTGTTGAGCCCCACCTGTAGGGGACGCTTTATTTCACTCATCACATGAAACTACCAATCATTAACCAACATACATCTACTTCAAGAGGCAAGTTTACATAAAAGTGTAATCTGTAGCTTCTAAGATATACAAGTCGGAATAAAGGGAAGGTAAAATTCTGAAGGTCACAGTATTTAATATATCAAAAATTTTGTCCTAAACTGTTTCCTGTTGAGGTACTGGTACATACTATCTTCACCCCTGAATGAGTAAGCATGTGTCTACTTAAATGACTTTTAGATATTCCACGGTACTGACAATGTGGACATGCAAAAGGTTTCTCCTTTGTGTGGCTGAAGAAGTGTTTCTTGAGATTACTTTTTGTTGTTGTACTGTAAGAGCACTGAGTACATGAAAAAGGCTTTTCCCCTGTATGTGTTCTCATGTGATTGACAAAATTTGTGGCAACATTTGTGTTATAAAAGCAGTAGGAACAATGGTGTCGCTTCTTGGTTTTCTTGTAACCCATACTTGTTCCACAAGTTTCTTGCGAAGGAGTCCACTGATCACTCTCCAATCCTACCTGTTAAGGACACGTGTCATACTATTATGAATATATCACAGTTCAAATTACTTATTCTCCTTTTCCAAAAAGTTTGAAGAGGGAGTGTTAACTGTCAACAAAATAGACCATGTGTTGCTGCGTCCTCTTTCTCCTGATAATAACAATGGTAAAGATGATGATGATAGTAATGATGATGATGGTAGCGATAATAATAACGATTATAAGAATAATAAGAAAAGAAATCATACTACTGGAGTTTGAGGACAAGGATATTATGACTCAGAGTATATGTATCTGAGTAAGTGTATTTATGTGTATGTGTGGGCATGCATGCGTGTGTGTGTGTGTGTGTGTGTGTGTGTGTGTGTGTGTGTGTGTGTGTGTGTGTGTGTGTGTGTGTGTGTGTGTGTGTGTCTGTGTGTGTGTGTGTGTCTGTGTGTCTGTGTGTATGTGTGTGTATGTGTGTGTATGTGTAAGTATATATATATGTGAGAGTGTGCGTGTATGTGTATGTGTATGTGTATGTGTATGTGTATGTGTTTGTGTGTGTGTGTGCATAAGCACATATACAACTCATGTGCTGATAAAAGAAAAGAGAGAAAAAAAAAAATTGGCAATGTATAACTCCTCTATACAATGAATGTTTAAAAAT